GAGCTACTACTCTTTATAATAAGCGAACGCCATACCCTCTTTGTTATAAGTGGCTGGCGCTCGCAACTTGTCGAGTGTTTAGTTTAGCCGCACCCCTTAAATCCGCGTTTATGCTTCTAATCAGGTTGGATTACGGTCAGTTTCGTCCCCCGTCTCGTATAAACTATGCCAAGGAGACATATGTTATTCTCCGAGCGTTCGACCGGAACATGCGATATTATTTTTCGTTCTGCTGTGGGTGCGCAACAAAGATACATCGCACGTGTCGCTAAAAAACTTAATCGGCTAGACGTCTGTCTAAAACACAAAATTTATACAACTGACATTTCATTTGTTATTTTGGTTCTGCTTCCCTAATTTCATTATTCAAAATAGTCTATCATTTCGTCGCTTGATCTCTTTAATCTAATCATCAACAGATGTGACGAACACTTTTCGAATTAAAATCGGTATAATTCTGAAATGTCCGTAAAACTATCTAAATTTCCATGATCATATCGCAGGGATCAGTCACGCGTCACTCGGTTCTCGTTAAATCGAAGTTTCGGCGATCGGTTTAATCGCGGGCACACCATCAAAGACATAGCCATAGACAAGGTAGCGCATCCCACGGATGATCACCAGCGGGTGATCGCGCAATTTCACAGAGTCGTGGCTGCGTCACATTCGGCTGGCCGAAAAATTTAACGAGGCGCACGCGGCTTCACTCACCCTCCTCTGGCGCCGATCGCCGGTCCCGTCACACACGGCTCGATAATAGTGTGTACCCCGCTATGAACGCGAACACCCCTCTAACCATCGCATCGGTTTCTCGCTACACAATCTCACCGTTCGCAGACCTATCCACGTATCCTCTAAAGCTGAATGCCAGCGATCAAACGACTATAATTGGTTTAAGAACGATTGAATTTGATGATTGGTGTATAATGTATAACATTGCAAGTTGTCACAGGATTATTTGAGTCTCATTAATAAGTACCAAAGAAATATTAAAGTATATTCATGTGCAATACAGAAATGAGGAAAGATTTTGTTCTATACAATTCATTCTTTTACTGCAAAATACAACAATCTCTTTTATATTCCTTAATAGAATCCATCAGCAAGATTACAAAAAAAAATGCATTTTATTAATATAGATTAGTTCTTTGTTCCATAACTTTCTCATCCATTAATTTCTTTTGTTCTCACCATACAAAGTCAATTTTTAAATTACAGGGACCCATTGTGATTTCATTCTCTAGGAAAATTAGTGATTCCATGTCCCGTGGAACCTGTCTTTTTAGATGTCGCGCTAATGGCGTTGCAGAAGCTGACGGCGATTATAAAGAGGGCACGTGCGCTTCACTTCATGATCGACCCCATGCTGGCATGCACGCGACCACCGAAAGCTAACCGAGAATCGTACGAGGCACAATTAATTTATTGTTCGTACCAGTCTTAGTAACGTCGGGGGAACCCCGGAGAAAAACAGGATCGTTGTTTTCTTCTGTTTCATGCGAGGGGTTTCTGAACGGATGCTGTCAGCCGATCCTTGGCTGCGTGTGATTTTCTCGTGGGATAAAGTCGGATTTTTTTCAACTATTCATTTCAATGGTATTGTACAGTACATTGTGATATAAAAGATATGTAATAATTAGATTGCGGTTTGTTATGAAAAATAAACTGTTTATGACATCAATTCGAAAAATGAGATTTAAATAACCCTTTAAAAATAATGATGTGTACCTAGGCAGGTATGTGCATACTCTTCCGAAGTATACATATGTATGCATTCTTCATATTTTATGCACATCAAACTTCTGTATAAGTGTATAAAAACCGCAGTCTAGCGACACAATAATACAGAGGTAAAGACGAAGACATTTCTATATCTATATTATAATACATATAACATATCAGTTAAAAAAAGAACTTGTATACATTAATGTGTACAAGTTTTGTCATGAAGATAAATTATTATACGTCGTATATCATTAACAGTTTCATTCACATACAATTTTATTTCAATAAATCATTAAATAATAATAAATACCAATATTAACGTTATTTCATGATTTTTTTAATCTATATTCTAAACTGTTCAACAAATTTACAATTACTAGTTTTGATAAATTAATCTAACATTAATATTATTATAAGTTAGAAACCACTGTTTCATTTTCTGCGAATGGTGTGGTCTGAGGATGCAAAGAGTTTGTTCAATCATAAGTTATTCCACTGAATATGTTAGAGGGAGCATTTTCTTCATACCCACATGTTTCAACTTAATCTCCATAAATTCAGGGAGACCTGCTGGGGTAATATGCGGTACTTTCCGGTAACGTTATCTGACTCTTACCGGGTACCTGCGGGAAAATAAACTGAAGGTATATACCTAATGGGGAAATCTCAGCAGTAAAACGAAAACTTTGTCACTAGCATTGACGAAGGGTTTGCCAGCAGGTATTCAAAGTGCAAATATTATCGTTCATAAATGCATTTACCCATTCAATGCGCATTAATGATGATTTATTTTAAATAATTTCGAGCTATGAATTTATTCAGTCCGTTGAATGAACTTCTTTTAACAAAATATTTAAAATAATTAAAGAAGCGCATAGAGCGATATTAATACTTCAAGAATAAAATTAAATATTTAAAATACTATAATTTTATTCAAGTACAGTTGGTTTAAGAGACTTTGATCATGGTTACCTAAAAAATGATTTCTCTGAATGAAATAATTGAATATTAACTGCAGATTTTCAAACATTATTACAAGTGTTGACACGAAAATCAAAACGAACGAAAATAATTCTCGAATCTTTTGGCTAATAACTTTGTTTAGAAGTCAGTTTGAGTCAACTGGTTTATTTCGATTTCTCGTTATTCCTTCATACACTTCCAATCGAGGAGCTCGGCTGAGTTCTTTTCCGTTCCCATCTGAAAATTCTGAAATCTATATTCGAAACAGAGAGAAACAAAATTGAGATACAGATCAGTGAGAGGAAAATATCGATTATATTTTTCTCGCAATAGGTAGGCAGCGCGCGCGCTCTCAATTTCACAATATTTACAACGCTTATAATATGTATATGTATAACTTCGTATCTTACAATATTAATAGAATCCATCAGCAAGATTACAAAAAAAAATGCATTTTATTAATATAGATTAGTTCTTTGTTCCATAACTTTCTCATCCATTAATTTCTTTTGTTCTCACCATACAAAGTCAATTTTTAAATTACAGGGACCCATTGTGATTTCATTCTCTAGGAAAATTAGTGATTCCATGTCCCGTGGAACCTGTCTTTTTAGATGTCGCGCTAATGGCGTTGCAGAAGCTGACGGCGATTATAAAGAGGGCACGTGCGCTTCACTTCATGATCGACCCCATGCTGGCATGCACGCGACCACCGAAAGCTAACCGAGAATCGTACGAGGCACAATTAATTTATTGTTCGTACCAGTCTTAGTAACGTCGGGGGAACCCCGGAGAAAAACAGGATCGTTGTTTTCTTCTGTTTCATGCGAGGGGTTTCTGAACGGATGCTGTCAGCCGATCCTTGGCTGCGTGTGATTTTCTCGTGGGATAAAGTCGGATTTTTTTCAACTATTCATTTCAATGGTATTGTACAGTACATTGTGATATAAAAGATATGTAATAATTAGATTGCGGTTTGTTATGAAAAATAAACTGTTTATGACATCAATTCGAAAAATGAGATTTAAATAACCCTTTAAAAATAATGATGTGTACCTAGGCAGGTATGTGCATACTCTTCCGAAGTATACATATGTATGCATTCTTCATATTTTATGCACATCAAACTTCTGTATAAGTGTATAAAAACCGCAGTCTAGCGACACAATAATACAGAGGTAAAGACGAAGACATTTCTATATCTATATTATAATACATATAACATATCAGTTAAAAAAAGAACTTGTATACATTAATGTGTACAAGTTTTGTCATGAAGATAAATTATTATACGTCGTATATCATTAACAGTTTCATTCACATACAATTTTATTTCAATAAATCATTAAATAATAATAAATACCAATATTAACGTTATTTCATGATTTTTTTAATCTATATTCTAAACTGTTCAACAAATTTACAATTACTAGTTTTGATAAATTAATCTAACATTAATATTATTATAAGTTAGAAACCACTGTTTCATTTTCTGCGAATGGTGTGGTCTGAGGATGCAAAGAGTTTGTTCAATCATAAGTTATTCCACTGAATATGTTAGAGGGAGCATTTTCTTCATACCCACATGTTTCAACTTAATCTCCATAAATTCAGGGAGACCTGCTGGGGTAATATGCGGTACTTTCCGGTAACGTTATCTGACTCTTACCGGGTACCTGCGGGAAAATAAACTGAAGGTATATACCTAATGGGGAAATCTCAGCAGTAAAACGAAAACTTTGTCACTAGCATTGACGAAGGGTTTGCCAGCAGGTATTCAAAGTGCAAATATTATCGTTCATAAATGCATTTACCCATTCAATGCGCATTAATGATGATTTATTTTAAATAATTTCGAGCTATGAATTTATTCAGTCCGTTGAATGAACTTCTTTTAACAAAATATTTAAAATAATTAAAGAAGCGCATAGAGCGATATTAATACTTCAAGAATAAAATTAAATATTTAAAATACTATAATTTTATTCAAGTACAGTTGGTTTAAGAGACTTTGATCATGGTTACCTAAAAAATGATTTCTCTGAATGAAATAATTGAATATTAACTGCAGATTTTCAAACATTATTACAAGTGTTGACACGAAAATCAAAACGAACGAAAATAATTCTCGAATCTTTTGGCTAATAACTTTGTTTAGAAGTCAGTTTGAGTCAACTGGTTTATTTCGATTTCTCGTTATTCCTTCATACACTTCCAATCGAGGAGCTCGGCTGAGTTCTTTTCCGTTCCCATCTGAAAATTCTGAAATCTATATTCGAAACAGAGAGAAACAAAATTGAGATACAGATCAGTGAGAGGAAAATATCGATTATATTTTTCTCGCAATAGGTAGGCAGCGCGCGCGCTCTCAATTTCACAATATTTACAACGCTTATAATATGTATATGTATAACTTCGTATCTTACAATACGTCCGTTATCGTCGACCAGCTACCAATTATATTATATATATATATATAACTTCGTTTAATTTACATCGATTATTATAAATAATAACGTGTCCTGCAACTGGCAATGTGTACACGTGTTTTTTTGTTATTATACATGCGATTAGCCTCGCGGCGTTAATGTAACACCCTCGAAGGACTATATTCGTTATAATGTTACTATTTATATAGAAGTCCAATAATAAAATACTTTAATAGATAAAGCGTAACTGGGATCGCCAGAATACTCTATAGTCGTTAATTACTGGATTTTGGGAATACTACTCGTTAAGTACTGGATTTCGGGAATTAAGATTACAACAACTTGATAATATTTGTTCCGTTTGTTTTCTTTGTTTCCTTCTTCTTGAAGAAGGGTGTATGTTTCTTTGGTCGGTTGGTACAAGCACCGGTCAGTCTTCGGGTCTACCTAAGAAATATCCAGTGTATTTATTTATATGTATAAGTCTTAACGACTACGAACGACTATGTGACTAATTTAGACTACAGTTTAAGTATCTCACGTTATCCATTCAGGTTTTCTCAAAATAGTCTGATTCACCTTTAGTTTTTCTTTTTTATATACAAAAGACATGTTTTTAAGTTACGTTTCGATGGCAAGTTTATCGTTTAATTAAATTGTATAAAATCGTACGCCGTCAATTTTTTTTGCGTGTTAAGAATTTCAGCCGTTCACGTCCAGCGTGTAATCTGCAAAAATTCTTTTCTTCTTTCAATTCGAATTTCGAATTAACTTTTTATTACTCCATTGGTGTAAATCGTGCAACTATTAAATTAAATTAACCAAAAAATCCTAGTGAAATATATAATTGAGAGAAATAATTGTTCTATGTCACACAATTAACATTAATTATCGGCAACGACGTATCTAACGAGTATCATTAGCAATCAAACAAGCAATCAAACGGATTTAAATATAAACGAGCGATCAAAGATATGTTATAAATGGCGTTCCCACCAAAAACGAAAATTGCATCTTGCAATTATTCGCAAAGATACTCGAAGCTTAACTTATATTGATTCTGAAACAATTAGCGCAATCATCACGAAGTTCATCTTCTTTGCTCGAGAGAGCTAAGTACTTTGATATGTGTGAATAAAGTACGCGCACAAGACCGAATAACGACAGAACAGAGTCAAACAATATCAGCCACTCTCTTAAATACGATATAAATCCTTCGGAATTATAAGTAGTACTTGACCACATTCTCCATCACTTTCACTAGTTTCGAATTTCACTCGATACGACACTCTGGTTCACGAGTTTACTTTTTGTCATCCGTTCTTCTTGAATACTCTACAATAACTCTGAGGATGTACCAAGTCCAACTAGCACTGATGGAGGGACTTGAGGAGTTTGTTCGCGTCTATTATCTTAACTTCCAGACTAACTTTGAAGTCATCCTCGCATTGCCGATCGACAACGGCACTCGCCCGGCCTTGCTCGGAATCACCGTTCGGTCGAGCGCGATCGGCCTCGAGGGATGTATCACAATAGCACGAGTCGTGGTTGCAACTAGTTTCGACGCGCTATGCGCAAGGCACATCTAGCTGGTGTCAGTGAACGAACTGTTGATGCGCTTCGTAATGATGCTGATAGTGGATTAGACCCTGAACAGAGCTAGGACTGTACTGTTGGGAGTCTACGATCACGCTGGTGTATCCGGCCGGCGTTGATTCCTGATAAGAATGCTTCGCAGGGTTGTTGTTGCTGTTATAATGACTCAGATGGGGTGGATATGGTGATTCGTAATGCTGGACATTGCTGGACGTGCCGGCGTTCGCGGGGACGTTGTGATTTTCGTTGTTGAGGCCACAATTAGGGTACATGATCACACCACCGACTTCGTTTAAATTAGAAGGTGCCGAGTCGGACATGTAGTGGTGATAATAAGGCTGATAACCGTGCGGTACAGAGTAAACGCTCAAAGGACTCGGCAAGTGGTTGTCCATAGCGTCCGTGCTGGAACAAGAACTCGACGAAGTCGAATATGGTCTGTTTTGTTGGCTACTCTGAGGGCTGTGCTGTTGCTGTTGTTGGGGCGGCGGCTGCTGCGGCTGTGGTTGCGGTAAACTTGCTGGAGGTGTCGGATGATCCAGCAGGTGAGGAGAATGCTGGTGTTTCTGTTGAGCATTCTGAGGACTTTGTTGTTGCATGTTCGATGGGGAATTGGCGTGGTGCAGAAGATGTGCGTGCTGTGCTTCCTGTTGCGGCACCATGGTGAGGGGATCTTGATGCATCTCTGAAAAATACGTTTTCCTTTCTAAGTCCACGTTTTTCAATTATTTTAATTGTATGTAGATAGTGGTCAAACTTCCCAGTTCATATTGAAATTCCCATATACTATTATACTTCATTTTATTCAAAATATTCTTGATTTATATTAAAAAACTGTTATAAGATGAAATAATACTGTCAAGTAATTCTGATGATTGAAATGAGAATAAATTATGTTTTTACGTTTGAAGCGTACCTCCATATTGGTAAAACGGATACTCGGAGTTGTACTTCAGACTGTCTTCCTGCGAGCTGTTTACATTCTGGGGTTGATAGGATGGCGACAGGTACTGATTCTGATTGGTCAGGTCAACGTATTCCGGTCTAGGGTAATTGGCACCGTTCGCGTAATCGTTATCAGGTGGTTCCTTCGATCTGCTTCGATACGCCGGGGAACTGGGGCTGTGACTGTCCAGCTTGTTGCTACTGCCACTAACGGTGCTGGGGGGATTGCTCGAGTTCGAGCAGTAAGATTTTGGCTCGCAGATGAACTGCAGATCTGTGTGCTCCGCTTTCGACAGCACGTAATTGACTGATACGATGCAGAATGGTCTGGAGCTCCGAGAATTGCGCACGACCGTAACGTAAGACTGCATCCATACCCATCCGCCCGATTTCATCAAGAACCTGTAGTATCGTGTTATTACTTGTCCCTTGCAGAGTACTATGAACAGATAAAAGGGAAACGATGCAGTTTAAACTGTGATCTCAAGAATTAGTGAGATTGCGACTGTTCATATACTTATCTATTACTTTGAGAAAATCATTATTGAAATTTTATATGGATTTTATAAATTAATTTCCTTTCTACCAATTATATTATATATATATATATAACTTCGTTTAATTTACATCGATTATTATAAATAATAACGTGTCCTGCAACTGGCAATGTGTACACGTGTTTTTTTGTTATTATACATGCGATTAGCCTCGCGGCGTTAATGTAACACCCTCGAAGGACTATATTCGTTATAATGTTACTATTTATATAGAAGTCCAATAATAAAATACTTTAATAGATAAAGCGTAACTGGGATCGCCAGAATACTCTATAGTCGTTAATTACTGGATTTTGGGAATACTACTCGTTAAGTACTGGATTTCGGGAATTAAGATTACAACAACTTGATAATATTTGTTCCGTTTGTTTTCTTTGTTTCCTTCTTCTTGAAGAAGGGTGTATGTTTCTTTGGTCGGTTGGTACAAGCACCGGTCAGTCTTCGGGTCTACCTAAGAAATATCCAGTGTATTTATTTATATGTATAAGTCTTAACGACTACGAACGACTATGTGACTAATTTAGACTACAGTTTAAGTATCTCACGTTATCCATTCAGGTTTTCTCAAAATAGTCTGATTCACCTTTAGTTTTTCTTTTTTATATACAAAAGACATGTTTTTAAGTTACGTTTCGATGGCAAGTTTATCGTTTAATTAAATTGTATAAAATCGTACGCCGTCAATTTTTTTTGCGTGTTAAGAATTTCAGCCGTTCACGTCCAGCGTGTAATCTGCAAAAATTCTTTTCTTCTTTCAATTCGAATTTCGAATTAACTTTTTATTACTCCATTGGTGTAAATCGTGCAACTATTAAATTAAATTAACCAAAAAATCCTAGTGAAATATATAATTGAGAGAAATAATTGTCCTATGTCACACAATTAACATTAATTATCGGCAACGACGTATCTAACGAGTATCATTAGCAATCAAACAAGCAATCAAACGGATTTAAATATAAACGAGCGATCAAAGATATGTTATAAATGGCGTTCCCACCAAAAACGAAAATTGCATCTTGCAATTATTCGCAAAGATACTCGAAGCTTAACTTATATTGATTCTGAAACAATTAGCGCAATCATCACGAAGTTCATCTTCTTTGCTCGAGAGAGCTAAGTACTTTGATATGTGTGAATAAAGTACGCGCACAAGACCGAATAACGACAGAACAGAGTCAAACAATATCAGCCACTCTCTTAAATACGATATAAATCCTTCGGAATTATAAGTAGTACTTGACCACATTCTCCATCACTTTCACTAGTTTCGAATTTCACTCGATACGACACTCTGGTTCACGAGTTTACTTTTTGTCATCCGTTCTTCTTGAATACTCTACAATAACTCTGAGGATGTACCAAGTCCAACTAGCACTGATGGAGGGACTTGAGGAGTTTGTTCGCGTCTATTATCTTAACTTCCAGACTAACTTTGAAGTCATCCTCGCATTGCCGATCGACAACGGCACTCGCCCGGCCTTGCTCGGAATCACCGTTCGGTCGAGCGCGATCGGCCTCGAGGGATGTATCACAATAGCACGAGTCGTGGTTGCAACTAGTTTCGACGCGCTATGCGCAAGGCACATCTAGCTGGTGTCAGTGAACGAACTGTTGATGCGCTTCGTAATGATGCTGATAGTGGATTAGACCCTGAACAGAGCTAGGACTGTACTGTTGGGAGTCTACGATCACGCTGGTGTATCCGGCCGGCGTTGATTCCTGATAAGAATGCTTCGCAGGGTTGTTGTTGCTGTTATAATGACTCAGATGGGGTGGATATGGTGATTCGTAATGCTGGACATTGCTGGACGTGCCGGCGTTCGCGGGGACGTTGTGATTTTCGTTGTTGAGGCCACAATTAGGGTACATGATCACACCACCGACTTCGTTTAAATTAGAAGGTGCCGAGTCGGACATGTAGTGGTGATAATAAGGCTGATAACCGTGCGGTACAGAGTAAACGCTCAAAGGACTCGGCAAGTGGTTGTCCATAGCGTCCGTGCTGGAACAAGAACTCGACGAAGTCGAATATGGTCTGTTTTGTTGGCTACTCTGAGGGCTGTGCTGTTGCTGTTGTTGGGGCGGCGGCTGCTGCGGCTGTGGTTGCGGTAAACTTGCTGGAGGTGTCGGATGATCCAGCAGGTGAGGAGAATGCTGGTGTTTCTGTTGAGCATTCTGAGGACTTTGTTGTTGCATGTTCGATGGGGAATTGGCGTGGTGCAGAAGATGTGCGTGCTGTGCTTCCTGTTGCGGCACCATGGTGAGGGGATCTTGATGCATCTCTGAAAAATACGTTTTCCTTTCTAAGTCCACGTTTTTCAATTATTTTAATTGTATGTAGATAGTGGTCAAACTTCCCAGTTCATATTGAAATTCCCATATACTATTATACTTCATTTTATTCAAAATATTCTTGATTTATATTAAAAAACTGTTATAAGATGAAATAATACTCTCAAGTAATTCTGATGATTGAAATGAGAATAAATTATGTTTTTACGTTTGAAGCGTACCTCCATATTGGTAAAACGGATACTCGGAGTTGTACTTCAGACTGTCTTCCTGCGAGCTGTTTACATTCTGGGGTTGATAGGATGGCGACAGGTACTGATTCTGATTGGTCAGGTCAACGTATTCCGGTCTAGGGTAATTGGCACCGTTCGCGTAATCGTTATCAGGTGGTTCCTTCGATCTGCTTCGATACGCCGGGGAACTGGGGCTGTGACTGTCCAGCTTGTTGCTACTGCCACTAACGGTGCTGGGGGGATTGCTCGAGTTCGAGCAGTAAGATTTTGGCTCGCAGATGAACTGCAGATCTGTGTGCTCCGCTTTCGACAGCACGTAATTGACTGATACGATGCAGAATGGTCTGGAGCTCCGAGAATTGCGCACGACCGTAACGTAAGACTGCATCCATACCCATCCGCCCGATTTCATCAAGAACCTGTAGTATCGTGTTATTACTTGTCCCTTGCAGAGTACTATGAACAGATAAAAGGGAAACGATGCAGTTTAAACTGTGATCTCAAGAATTAGTGAGATTGCGACTGTTCATATACTTATCTATTACTTTGAGAAAATCATTATTGAAATTTTATATGGATTTTATAAATTAATTTCCTTAATGGTTCATTACAAACATGATTAATTGCATTTGATTTCAATGATAAAGCTTGCATTTTATTTATACTATAAAGACATCAGGATAATTATAAATTCGGAAGGATTGATCGTACAATAAAGTTTAACGTTTGATTTAATGTTTTTATATATTTCTACGATGGTCAATCTTTTAAGACCGTTTTAAACCGCGATCCATTTCTCATGGAATTATCCTACACATAGGAAGTATGTACGTACACACTATGAAAGGAAATTTTCTACTAGCGTAAAGCGCCGATCAATCCGCAGGCGCGGACATTAGTGGCATTATGTCAGGCTCCCTTCGAGTTGTGCTCGTGAAACTGCGAGTCTGTTCAAACAATGATAGCAGTAACAGTCTCCTCCTCTCTCGCCCTCTTCTACCACCGCCCGGCTGCTGCCTCCTCCATCTCTCTTCCTTCTCGTCCTCCCTCGCGCTGACGTTTACACGCGCGCGCAAACTCACGTCCAGAAGCACACCGACACCGTAGCGAAGTCTCTCTCTTTTCTGCTCCGCTCATAGCGCCACAGCATAGCAGCATTGTTCAATCAATAATGTACACCTTGTATGTACTACGTGCGCATATACTTAGAGAGACTTTAACGTACTGGCGCGCGACGAGGTACGAGAGGGATGCGAGGGAAACGAAGGTGGAAGAAGAGGAAAAAGAAACGAGGAGAGGAGAAAAAAGGGAAATGCTGTTATGTATCGCGCTTGGTACCGTCTCGAAAGTCGGCCCGGTCGCGGAGGATGGGTGAGAAGGAAAGATCAAAGGATATTTCGTCAGCGAGGGCGTCGCTGGGTTAAGCAGCGTCAGCTGCTTTTGGCCTTGCGAGAGCCTCTTCTTCGGAGCACTTTGATACCACGTCGACGCTTCTGAGACCGCTTTCGGACTAACTACATACATAGTCACGCCCAGGGAAATAAGGCCTATTTCTATAGACATTACACTACCGCGAGCTATGTTAAAAGATTCAGGAAATATCTCAATTTTATTTCGTATAATTAAATGTAAACGTATCGTCAACTCATTAATTTAGTCATCCAGAAATATCAACACATTTAATCATTTCAATGAATATTTGTAATTAAATGAAATTAATGCTTTTTATAGTATCTACTAAATGTACCTACATCTGTCTTTTCCTTTTTAAATTGTGCTTATAATTTCTTAGAACACAGTATTAAAAAATCAAATGCTTTCACTATTTAATTATGTATGCGTTTTCAGTAAAGCCTTGGATTTATCCTTATGAACTATTGGATTATCCGGAAAGTTCGTTCTTCGATTTTAGATGGATGGAATGACGTACATTTTGCACTATATTTAGGGATGGTGTCTTCAAGTTGCATGAAAGATGGAGATAGAGTGTGGAACAAAATAACACGTATATAATTCAATGAATCAATAAATAGATATCAAAAATTAAATGGGTTGCTTTTACATTTTCTATGAAAAACGGAATGAACTTTTCGGGCAATATAATTTACTGTGAAAATATACTTACATTTGATATGAGATTGCCTCAACTGTTCTATGTCGCATCCGTGAACGTAATGATACAGCGTTCTCTCGATCAAATCCGATGGATTATATCCCGTCAATTGCGACACGCTGCAATACATCGAAAAAAAATTGTGAAACGCCGCATCTCTCCTATCATTTTTTTCTGCTAGAAGGTTAAAATGTTACCTATCTATCCTATTATTTTTTCTGCGAATCGAGTATTTATTTTTGCTCGGATTTTGTCCGGAGTCCCGTCGAATTCGAGATTTACATATGTATATCCCGTCACGTCGTCACCCGTGGAAATCGATTTTCCGCTGCTCTCGATATAAAGTTTCATTCCATCGCGTTCCCGTCGCCCAACCCCGTATTTATACTCCGCCACGTGTTCATTTCCCAGCGCGTGGAGCATGGATATATATTTATTTGATGCGAGCGAAAAAAAAGGAGAAGAGAGAAAATAAAAAAATGTCTAGCGGGTCCACCGTAACACGAAACTGATTTTAATGGCCGGCGACCAAGAATCCCTCTGCCTCCCGTTCACCTTTTCTCTCTTTCTCATTTTCTTCACTGGCGTCGAAATATATCGACGACGCAACTTAACACCGGGCCGTAATTGCGACGACGGAAATAATCCGGCTCGATGTTTCGTCGTCTTTTCCCGCCTCCTCGCTTCTCGAATTCGAGACACCGGACAAATAAACGTGATCCATCGAAAGGATGTTCAGAAGAGACAATAGTTAAGTGCAACATGTGCACGCATCAATTTCTTTTTCTTACTTCATATCAACGAAGATCAATTTCAAATCCTCCGACGCGCGAAACATGAACATGTTCTGGTACAGCTTCACTTCCGTGAGACAACGTCCCGGCAGAGAATGCCCCACTGCGAGGAGTCCAACTTTCCGAATTCGATGTCCACTGGCGCCGTCGTCGTACTCTACTGGTCCTTCGACGATGCATCTTAAGTATCCGGAGCAATGTATTACCTGTAACAAGTGCACATGAATCTTCGACAATGAATGATAGCGATCATTTTGCATAGTTACTACAAATAGTTATTAAAAAAGGATCAATATTAGATCAAGAAGGACATTAATATCTTCAGTACCTCCAGCTTGTAATATACCATTAATATACTTGCCATGCCTTTTAGGATCATTTACACAACAAACTAACATTACTAAGTCAATCAACAACGTTGTTAAATTCATTAGCACTATTAATTCATAGATTATTACATGATCGGTTGCGATTCAATTAACCGTTCCTAATTAACTTCCACGATAGCTACTAATATTGATCAAAGGTCGTAGCATAGTTTAAAGGTGGAGTTCAAACCAAACGTCGCAATTAAGCGTGAAACAGCCCTCGATTGGGGTGACTTATCGTTAATTACACATGTGCACGTGATTAAACTTAATGTTATACACTGGTCCCGATAGCTTATATAAGTACGACACTCGAGTGAGTTTTTCACTTGCAGAGGGTTGGAACGCGGATTTCCTTATGGAACGAATGTTGCGTCGCGCCTTCCCGGGTCGCAAATTAACAATTCCTGCTTAATTAAATGGCCGATGAAACGAAAAAAAAAGAAAGAAGCCTCGTTCAACGTCGGCTGGTGTCTCGAGTGCACCACCCGCGGGATTTGAAAAGCAAATAGGCTTGTTTCGTATGCCCGCGTTGCATTATTCTCTTCTCTCATATGCAATACCGCCACGGTGCATCCTTCCAGGCATGCGAGCAAGGGTGGCATGAAAGAAAATACATAATTCCTGTCGAGGGCGTGCGAATACTCTATTCCGTCTCTGAGTACTGTATTCATTTGTAAACTCTAAGTATGTAGAAGTTATCGAAAACAATCTAATTAATCAAGCAAATAGAACAGATATTGTCCAGTCTTCTAGTAAATAACATTACCAGCATTTTAGAATATTGCGTGGAGGAGATAATGAATACAAATATAATTTTCTAAGATTTTGTGCATAAATATATCAATAAGATCATAACTTTATCTCATTTATTAAAATTAAATTAATTTTATTTGATTGAAGAACCGAAGGCGTGGCATGTTAATAACCTGTTCGTACGCATTCACGTAACATTGTATACATAAATCCAACAAAACGCGCGTTCACACCTCCGCAAAGTCAAGCCAACTACGGTTCAGTCTTTGTGCGTCTAAGTGTCATACAAAAAGCCGCTCCCGGGTTTCCCGTGCGTAACCCCCGTCCACGGAGACCGTGGCGTTCTAACAGCTTACAGGGGTTGCATTCATGACTTTGCTCAACGCCTATTGGGGTCCTTTCTCTGCACGATTTCGTCGAGAGCCACGGACATCATAGGCGCTGTGCGGGCTTTGAACGAGCTATTTGCCAAACATTTTCCTCCTCGAGTGTCGTCTCCTTTTGCTACGGCAAGTGCAAAGCGGTCGGCAAGTCCCTTTTTCCCAGTTACCCTTTAACGAGGCTAAGCAGCTCTATCGTTATTGCCCGAACATATGTGAAACCATTTGGCGAGGATCGACAAATATCAGGGGAGGATTTCCTAATTTCGGTAAATCGTTCAACGGTATTAATGATAGTAAATCGTTGCGGCACAATCGCGTCGATGAAATCTGGAATGGTGACTGCTTTAATCGGATCGATGAAAGTAATTTGGATAATCCTTGAATAACGATGCGGCTGGTGTTCGGGGCATCGATCGCGGCTGTCCAAAGCGGGTAAGAGATATTGAATTTAACGCAATTCATATAGTAGACTAAAATAATCAGAGAATACATCATTTGCACAATTATTTTCATTAAAATTGTTTGCTATTGAAAGTAAATATTTAAAATTGTCAGAAATATTTGAATCGTCGGAAGTAAAATTGTTTGACAAAAGAACCAGCCGGGATAGCCAGATTACTTCCGTAAACTTAGATCATTCGGGATACAAAAACATGCTCACGTGGCAGTAACATTTTTATTGCACGGAAGGGAACCAATGCAGCCTGAGTGAATTTAACCAGTGCGGCGTGGCACAGCATACTTCTCGATTCTACCTGGTGGCCGTTTTTCCTTTCCATCTCGCACGTGACCGGGACAATACCGTCCCTACTTAGCTCGCCACTTCTTATCTCTTATTTAGCATTTGAATTTTTATTCGTTTTATGATTTCCTGTGCAAGCAACCGCTAGACTAGACGTTATGCTAATCGCCGATCATCTCATTTCGCGAACCCAATAAACCCTATAATAGCCTTGTACTCTCGCATTGAAGATAACCGTAGCAATTCGAATTATTTAACGAAATTCCTTCTGCCTTTTCTGCAAAGTTTGTACTTTTTAATGGTACATTTAACACCTCGCCAGTTTTTATAACTTATGCAGATCTTGCATTTATTGTAATAATATAAATTCTATTCTTAGTTGATTGCCAATTTAAGGTTGAAATCGAAAATTTGTACCATTCGTATAACAGATAATAAATCTCTTTCTCGGTATTTTAAAAATATAAAT